GCGGAGAGCGACTATAGTGGTCGGAGATGAAGATTGGCGATGGAAGACGATGGTGGCTGTAGATGGTGTTGGCTTGCGACAGTAAGGGTGGCTGGCAGAGAAGTCCAACCGTGGTGGCCTACAAGTAGTAGTGACGATGAGTGGTGGTGGTCGACGACAGCTGGTAGTAGTAGCCGAAGACCATCTACACTTCACTTTAAGCTGCGTTTTTGGAATTTGACCAACTCAAACATATTCTAAATTCAGAGAAAAAGAACAAATGGTTGAATTTCAAAAACAAAACTACTTTACTTTGAATTTCAATTTCTTCCAAGCAAACGACTGCATTTCTAAAACCCTTGTATCGGCAATCCAATGCACCGCTAATGCTGCAACTCAAACAAACCATAATCAAATGGAAAAACATAGAATCAAATTTTGCGTTTGAACTTTGAGTAGGTTGGATGCTAGAAAATTCACAAGAATAATTTACATTTTAATTTTATATAAAAGTTTCGTATACAAATAGATAAATGGAAAGAGCATACAAGAAACCAAAATTTTGATGTGAAAAAGGATTTAAGAAGAAAAAAAAAATCATGAAATTTAGTCTAGTTGAAATAATTCATTATATGCATGAAGAATGGCTCACAAAGTTAGGAGCACTTATTTGGTGTCAAGTGATTGTTGTAATAGTAGTGGAGGGCGAGAATGGTGATCAGGTGGTGGTAGTCAAATAACAACGGTTGGGAATTAATGATGGGTTAAAATTATTAGGATGCAGTGATTAGGTGATAACGATCAAATAATGACAATTAGGCAATGATTGTTGAAGAAAGACAATTGGGTGACAATCAATAAGTAACGACAATTAGGCAATGATTGTTGAAGAAAGACAATTGAGTGACAATCAATAAGTAACAGTTATATGATAATAGGAGTCATATGACATTAGTTGGATGATGATAGATAGGTGACAATTAACGATCGATAGTAATTGAATCACGATGATTACAAATGACGATCATTAATGTTTGGGCATAAGTTTAAAGTTTTTTAGATCGTCAAACTCTTTCTAATTTCATGGTCAGGACCCTCTGACATTTTGTTAATTGGGCCAAAATGGTAAATTTCTTTTTCAACAGCTCATTTTATTTTCTTTGATCATTGACTATTTATTGAACATGTACATGACTTAATAACCTCGCGATTGAGTATTTGAGCTGGTTATATTTTTTTTTCGAGACACTTGATTTAACTATAAAGATGTAAGATTTGAAGAATTTTAAACTCCTTAATTAATGTCTCAAAAACTTTTAAATCATTTTGGGTTACTTAATTATGACTTATTAGGACTTATGGTGGAACAACTTTTGATCATATAGGTTTATCTTGTTGAGATGTTCCATTCGGCGTCAATTTATTGAAATCATAATTTAGATTATTCTGGATTTAATTTTAAAATTTCTTTTAACTTAAAAGAATTGCTTACAAGAAGTTAAATAGTTTTATCATTCTCTAGCTCATACCCATCTATCATCATACAAATCGTTCTAAGAGTTCAAACAATACACAAGTGCATATAAATGCTCAAATACAAAGAGTGCATCCATCTTTTTTTATTCCAAAACTAAATTTCAATAAGAAGTATAAATTCATTGTAATACACACAAAAATAAATAAATTAATTAAAAAAACTTCTTAAGTATACTCACACTCTTCACCCTGAAGAAATTCTCCAAGTATTAAGTTTTTTTCACCATTAATCTAAAAAATCTTGATTTTTAACATTTGGGAGTTTTCTCTAAAATTTTGAATCATTGATTTTTTAACTTTTAGGTGTCCTGAAAAAGTCTAAAGTCACAACCTCCGATATGAAGTCAAATAATAGTTTGTGTTATTTGAATATTAATACGTCAACAATAAATTTTCATCGTCCGATATGAATCTTGAGCATGACTCGAAGATTGAGGTAATTTTTGAGTAAGAAACATTCAAACTTCAATAAAAAATCTTCTAGAGCTCTGATTTTAGTAAACTTACAGTCAAATTAACCAGCTCGACAACGAACATGATGACACCAACTTGGTCTAATCTGAGTCAAATCAACTCATTAAGCTATATATGAAAGTTTTTGGTGCTCGATTAGAAGGTTAAACAAATCCCAAATCTTACAGGATTATAGACTAACCGAGTGGCTTGGCGAGACAAATCCAATGAGCCAAAGATCACTCAATTTGAACATTGTTAAGTCATTTAAATGTCAACAAGACAACGCAATATCAAGGGGATCTGTCTGGACCGTCCTAGGCGGTGGTCTGAATTCTTTTCTTATTTGCAGAGAGGTCTCTCCCAGATTTTATAAATGGAGCCCTACCCCTCCTTTGAGAGGAGACTAAGTCCTAAACCTTGAACCGACTGAAGTTTGGAGCTTTGAGAAGGAATCGAGGTCTAATGTTCTACGTTGAAGGTCCAGTAAATGCCAACTGCTTCTACAACTGACGACCACCTTTGACCACCACTAATCGGTTGTCATCGGCCATCGTCGACCACCCCTTGTTCATTGTGATGAAGTCTCATATGGAGTCACAACGTACACTGTGGAGTAACAAAGGACGGTGAGGAGTGACGACAAGCCATACAAAGTAACAAAGCATCTTATGAAGCAACACACCTCAAAAAAGGTGAAACAATGCACCTCGAATACTATGCAATGATATGCCTAACATACGGTGCAACGATATGCCTTACATACGGTGCAATGACACCAACCAAAGAGGGGGGTAACAAAGCACCCTATCATAATTGCTTAAAACTGCTGTACTCGGGATATAAGGAATTCTCCGGACTCTTGAAATCCTCTTCTTACAGCCCCTCACTATGACCTATGCGAACAACTACAGTCTACATGGTTCACAGCTTATGCAACTCCCAACTTTGACCTTTGTGACCAACGAATGTTATCATAGCTCATGCAACTCCAAACTTCAGCCTTTGTGGTCTACAGACGTTAGCCCTAGCTCATGCTACTCCCAACTCCAGCCTCTACGACCTATAGATGTAATCTCAGCTCATGCATCTCCCAAAGCCAGACTTTTTGACCTGCCTATGTCTGTAGAAAAATCCAACACACACCCAACACACACTCTTGGATTTTCGTACAACGTTAAGACAATCAATAATCACTATACCACAATAAATCTTCTGGCATGCAAAAAAATAGTTCGAGCTCAAAATATTCGGCTCAGCTTGCCTCTAGCTAAAAGTAAATTTTAAGTTCAACTGGTTTGATGTATTTTGAGCTCGCTCTAAATTAAAAAAGTTTTACTTGGTTAAATTTTTTGGTTGTTGAAATTAAAATTGAACTTTCTTTCAACTAACTTATGATAAGGAACAATTATATTGAGCAATTTTTGCCTTAGATTAATAACAAAATAACATACATATTCTTTTTTAAGTCACTCTCAAATCTTTTTTTAGACAGCCACCCTAATGTCACGGACAAATAGTCCCACATCGACTAGGTGTAGGGCCAAATAACAGGATTTAAGTCCTGGGCTGCCCACTACCCGTCCTGGGCTGCCCATAAGGGCTCTTTTGGGAGGTGACAAGTGGTATCAGAGCAGTTTACTGTCTGCTAGGTGTGTGGACTCTCCATGGTCCAGTGGGACCCTTGGTGGAGCCGATCCGTGACGAGGGCGTCACGGGATTGGGTGGAGGAGAATGTCACAGACAAATAGTCCCACATCGGCTAGGTGTAGGGCCAAAAAGCAGTATTTAAGTCCTAGGCTGCGCACCACCCATAAGGGCTCTTTTGGGAGGTGACACTAAGCTCAAAATTGCTCTAAGCATATAATTCGACTCATAATTAAATTTTTTTAAATTGGCACAATTTGTGGAGATTTAAATATTAAGCTAATCCAAGAAGCGGATTCTAGTTTTTTGGAGCCTCAAGTAGTTGTATGAAGTATTTTATAGATTATTTTTTTATGGTTCAATAACTATAATTTTGTTATTGAATCCAAATAATGTCCATGTCACTCAACTTTATAATTGTATATTGCACTAGAAATCTCACAAGCTAGCTTGGCATTAGAAGCCTATCCCATCTCAAGAGAAAAACCCTTACTCCTTAGATTTTGCCTTGGATATTTATTTCTCATCTCCAATTGAGTAGGATATAGCTTCATACTAAGATGATTTCACCTCAACACCATAAGAGCAATGATATTGACCTCTAACACACTACAATAATACTAATAAGTTATAGTTAAAAAAATGTTATCATACCATTATATGTTGCATAAAACACATAAAAGGTTGTGCATAATAATAGCACATAATTATAAAGAATTATATCTACAGAAAAAAAATTCAAAAAACATAGGCATACAATATTAAAAAGATCACAGTGATTGTGTTCGATCCAAATTTTTTCATTCGTAACTCCGAAATCATATTAATAACTCACAAAGAACTAGAACATAAAATACTAAGAGAAAGAGAAAAAGAAGAGGAATCTAAAGAGTATAGAGAGAGAAGCTCTAAGATTTTTTAATTCTGTCAGAGGTATAAAACTTTAGTATAATCGTTTAGTAAACCTCAGACTTATCCCTTAGGCTTCTATTTATTGGTTTGGGCTAAGGCTTGAATGCTACAAGAGGAGATATATTTAAGCTCCACAAAATATATGAGTCATGTAGCCAAATTGTATATAAAAATTCATATTTTTTGTTGAATGAAATCACAATTGAGTATATGCTGACAATTGTCTGAAATTATAGACTTAATGAAGTTGTTCATAGTACTAATAGTTGTACATGACTTCATATATAATGATGATGCCATGTGCACCAACATAAAAACAAGAAAAAGTTTAAATAGTTTCCAAAATGCAAGACATATTAGATGTATCTGAGACACCCAGGGCTATAAAGCCACGGCAATGTCATAGCTGCTAGCCTGCAACAAATAAATCATCCAAAAACTACGTACTAAAGAAGCTTCAAGCTCATAAAATTCTCATCAATACAAAGACTTGAAATCCAGAAAGGAATAGACGTATACAATCTTGTATCTGGATTACAAATAGATTGTTTTGCAGCTAGTACGCAAAATAAACAAATAAGGGCAAATAGCAAAAAAGCCTTATCCCTGTGCTTCCATGATCAACAAAGCAATCTCATTCGATCTGATCCAAATGAAAAGTTTAGTTTGATGCAAAAATACAGGCCACGCTCGCAAGATCCATTTTTAATTCATCAAGTTTTAAATGAACTCTATGATTTCCACTGATTTGGAGAAGATGGAGGACAAATTTTATGTAAATCCAAAGCAAACGGACAAGTTTTTCATTTGAATAGAGAGTAGGTACACCCGCTTCTGATATTCTCAGAGCTCTTAGAGAAAACTTGTGTCTGAGGAAAAGATTTAAGTAGCGAAAACCACATTTAGTCGCCTTGGTTTATGTTTTCCATTATAACTGATTCCAGGTCACATTAGTTGTAACATTCTTCTCTAAACAAGCATGATTTCAATGATAGTAGGTATGAGTCAGTTAAAAATTTGAGCTTCCAAAGCTTCAGCACATTCCCTATAAAGTCTAGCTCATGAATCTCTTTAAAGCATAAATTTGACCACCTGTTCTGTCACTGACATACAAACAAGGTGTTTTAGCAGTTGCAGTGTAGTTAGCTGCTTTAGCATTTAGAAGGAAGGCAACAATGCTTAAATTTCCATCAAGAACAGGAGATTGATGCCACGTCCATGTTGATGCTTTCATAGCATTCCAAAATCTGACAGCCAATCCGAATGCCCGAAGATCTCGAGCATCAAGTTTCCTTGGCTCCCTCAACAAGGCCTATAAGAGAACTTATATAAAGTCTCATTTATGTGATTTCATCCTTCAGATCATGATTTCCACTGATTTGCTCAGAAATCCTCCCTGAAATATCTGAAGCAACAGAGTATCTATTATTCTCATAGCACCCATTCAGAAATGCAGTATATGTTATGTGATCCACACTGTAATCAGCATCTAATAGCTTGTTAAGAAATAAGACAGCTGCATCAACATTCCCAACAGAACTCAGCTTTCTAACCAGGATATTTGCTGCTTGTACCCAATGCTTTTTCTCCAGTCTTTCTAACATCAGCATAGCAATTTCATTTTTTTCTCTCTTAGCAAATTCATACGCTAGAGTTATCCTGGTAACCTCACATGGAACTAAACCCTTGTCTAACATAGATTCATATAATGCTCTTGCCTCCTCTAATCTAGAATCTTTGCAAAGCCCACTTATCAGAGCACCATATGTAACTGAATCAGGCACAATTGCTTCCTGAATCATCTTCTCAAATATCCTCACTGCAGATTGTGTCTTTTCATCCCTACAATACCCAGAAATCATGGATGTGTAAGTTTGCTTGGTTGGTTTAAGTCCCAACTTGAGGCAATCACTTAGCAACTTCTCAGCTTCTTCCATTCTTTTTTGTCTGCAACAACCAGCAATCAAAATGGTAAATGTTTTGATATCAGCTTGGTAACCATTTTCAACCATCCAATCCAACAACTCAAGAGCCTGAGCTATCCTGCCTCTTCTACAGTGGTCATTGATCAGAATTGTGTATGTAACGTTATCAAGCTCCAGCCCCTGTTGTAGAGCATCCTGAATCAGTTTATGTGCCTCATTAGCCTTCCCCTTCTTAAAAAGGCCATCAACCATTGAATTATATGTATGAATGGTACGACTGCAATCCATCCTCTTCATTTCATCCAATAATTCAAAAGCCCGATCAATATTTCCTTGTTTGCAATTCCCATCAATCAGAGTAGTAAATGTATTAGTGTTTGGAAGCAAATCCTGCTCTCTCATCTTTGAAAACAACATTGCTGCTCTATTAATTTTTCCTTCTCTGCAATACCCACTGATCATTGCAGTGTAAGTATAGACATTTGGTTTGTATAAATTGCTCCTAATAAGCTTCATAAACAGCCTGAAAGCCCTCTCAGTCCATCCAATCTTGCACAGCCCATCAATCAATATGGTGTGTGTATAAACATTTGGCTTCATCTTCTTCCCAACTATTTCCTCCAAAACCTGAAAGGCCTGCTTCACGCTGCCTTTTTTGCAAAGCCCATTGATCAAAGCAGTGTAGTTGATCACATTGGGAGGAACATCCATTTCACACATTTTCTCAAACATCCAAAAGACCTTTTTGAATAAACCCTTCTTGCAAAATGCATCTACAATTAATGTGCATGTTACATTGTCCACCGGGAATCCTCTCGCCTCCATTGCTATGAATAATTTCTCAACTTCTCCAACAAGTCCCTCCCTGCAACAAGCAATGATCATGGTTTTAAAACTATGCATATCAGGGGAAAGCTGGTTCTCAGACATTTCACCAAACACGTGTTGTGCAAGTCCTACCAAGCCTGAATCTGATGCTATTCTCAGAATCCGATTCATGGTGTGGATGCTAAGGGGCAAGCCTCCATTCTGCATCTCAAAGACCATGTCGGATGCCTCCTTCAACCTCCCAATTTCGGCGAAGCATTCGACCATGCATCTCATGACCTCCTGAGCCTTTTCAAAGTTCCCTCTGGCGACCAAAGATTCTGCTGTAGCTATATAAAACCTCATCGAGTGTCTGAAATGCCGGCGGATAATCGCCCAGTGGAAGAAACCGAGCGCAGCAACGGATCCCTCTCGATCGGCGAGAAGAACAACGACGGCGACCGCCTGCTCGATGCTGATATCGACGTGAAGAGAACGAAGGCTTTTATCTCCTTCATCGTAGGACTTACAGACCGAATTGAAGACTGTGCCCACGATTCCAGAGGGAGAATCCGTGGCAGCGTTGCTTGATTCGTGGTGAAGAATTGGAGCTGGTGTGTTGAGTAGAGAGGAGTAACGAGATACTGCAATCGAAAAAATTCGATCTTGAAAGAAATGGCGGGGAAACAAGGAGTGATGTTTGAGCTTGGGGAAGTACAGTAGAGAGATGCGATGACTGGTTGAGATTTGGAAGAAGAAGAGCATTGCTTCAAGGCGGGAAGGGTTGCATTGGCGATGGTTTGCAGATTCTCGTTTGATGAAGCGCTTCGTTTTGGCCAAATTTTAAAGGGCATCTAAAAACAGGTTTTTTAACTGGGGCATTTACATACATGCCACCCAATTCTTATGTATTTATATATCTAATACTAAATTTTTCTTTCTTACATTTATACCACCAAAATATTTCATATCACATCAAAGATGGCACTACTTTGATTTAACTGAAATATATTTTCTTATGCATAAGTAAAGTAGCATATAAGTAAAAATTGAAATTTAGGTGTTAGATTTGTAAATACATCAGAATTGAGTGGTATTTATGCAAATCCTCCTTTTTAATATTAACTGTTTTATTTTTTTTTAAAGAAAATTAATATACATTACCACTCAATTAAAAAAAAAAAAAAGGAAAGAGAGATTTCTAAAATAGGATAATTACATGCATAAAAGCACAGGAAACATTGCTATTTACAAATTAATTATATTCAAAATTAAATTGATGCATTTACACGTCATGATCATGATCAAATCATTGTGTCAAATCATTGTGAATTTGATAAAAATGAAAATATGGGTTGGGGTTTTATCATGACCTTTAATATTTATGTGAGGATTTGAAAATTGGATTAAAGAGGGTGCTTGTCTTTTAAATAGCAAAGTTTTAGGTGCCCTATATGTAATCATACATTCCAAAATTTGTATTTTGTATTTTATTTTTTTTAGAAAATGTTCTATATATATATATATA